AATACATCATTCTTCCAAGAGAGCAGCATGTGTTCGAAATTATAAAAAAATAAACAATAGAAAGCTTGTTAGGAGAGTCACACAAGAGCATAATTAATACACGGCTGGAGTCCTGGAAACAGGACGGGTTCATTAATCTTTGGTCATTTTCTGAAGGAACAAGGTTCAGGTGTTTCGTTGAGCCGACCACCTGAATACGATTACGTGGGACTAGACGAGCTACTTCTAAAGTTAGAGTTCAGAGCACAGTTAATGGCGTTAAAAATCACATACCTGTAAGGACTATACAGCGTGTAGGTTTCTAACGCTTTATAAGGTGGTGGTTGTTGTTGTTATGTGCCGCCGTCGACTCAAACCCAACTCATAGCGACCCCTCCTTGGGTTTCCGAGGCAGTATCCTACGGAAGTAGGATTGCCCAACCTTCCTTCCGAGGAGTGGCTGGTGGGTGGGTTTGAACTGCCAGCCGTCTGGTTAGCAGGCAAGTGTCATAGCCACTATGGTAAAGAAACACTCTGTTTCCGTAAAACAAAACTTGTCTTATTTCACACACATAAGGACTTTGGGTTTTTCTCTGGATAAAAGGGGATCTGTTGGAGACTTAAGCAGAATGGTGACAGGATGTGAGCAAAGTTTTCACGGGATCGCTCTAGCTGCTGTGGCGGACGGAGGCCAGGGTAGAAGCGGGGAGTCAAATGGGGGGGAGTTGGTAGAGGCTCAGACGGCTCAGGAGCTCGGCCTCTGGAACTCTGGAAGGGAGAGCCACCAAGATCTGCTGATGGACTTTACAGAAGTAGATTGCCCCATCTTCCTTCGTGGAGCGGCTGCTGGGTTTGAGCTGCCAACCTTTTGGTTAGCAGTCACATGCCTTAGGCACTGCACCACCAGAGCTCCAGCATGTGGTGAACGTTGAAATCCATCCACAGGGATGCAACGACCCGAGGAAGGACCGTAGGTGGAGAAGAGAGTGTGAGGTCTGGCACTCCAAGGTCTGAGAAAGGAGGAGACAGAAAAGGAGCAGGAAAAGCAGGGCTGAGGAGTTTCCTTTAGAATTAGCAATGGCCTCGGTACAAGGAGGAGTTGGGTGTCGTGATGGGAGAGAAGCCTGATTGCCTTAGACAGACAGGGATAGGAGCAGAGGACAAACAGCTCTTCAGAGGCGTTAGGCTTCAAAAAGTGGAAACCACCCCAATGCCCATGAGCTGCTGAGTGGATACACAAACCATGGCCCATCCCCACAAGGGTCTGTTACCAAACCATGAGAAGGAGTGAGGTACTGGTGCTTGTCATGACACGGATGACCCTTGAAACGTGCTGAGTGAAAGAAGCCAGTCACTAAAGGCCACATGTTGTATGATTCCATTTATACGAAATCCAAAAAGGGCAAATCCATAAAGATGAAAAGTACACGGGTGGTCGCCGGGGACGGAGGGACAGGGAATCGCTGCTTATGGCCGTGGGGTTTCCGGGACAACGGAAATCTGCTGGAATTAGATGGGGGGGGGTACGCAGCTTCGTGGCCACAGCACTTAGTGTCCACTCTTGAAGGGTAAATTGAGTGGTATGGGAATTGATCTGAGTTTTGTAAGAATTAGTTCCTGAGAAACCTCTCCCCTGCTCTTGCCGTCTGAGCACCAGGCGTGCACGTCTGTGCCTTCTTCCCAGTGGCTGCGGGTGCCTTGGTCTCTCGGTGTGTTACTTATCTAAGGCCACCTACAGAATTAACTAACTACCCAGAAAACAAACCAAACGCACTGTCTCTGAGTGGATTCTGACCCAGAGGGGCCCTGTAGGACGGGGTACTGCCCCATAGGGTTTCCAAACCTGCAAACCTGGAAGCGGACTGCCTCACTGTTGTCCCACAGAGCGGATGGTAGGGTCGAACCACTGACCTTTCAGTTCACAGTCGTCTGGGGCCCCCCCTTCCTATGAGATTCCACCGGGGCTGGGCGCCGTGTGCTTTGCAGGCCTCCCTCCTCACCGGCCACTGGCCAGAGGCCTCGTTGCTCACCACGTGGGCTGCTCACAGTATGGCTGCCCCACAACCAGAGGTCAGAGAGAGCGAGCAGCCACCCAAGCCCAGGTCACAGGCTCTTTCGTAACCTGGCCTCAGAAGCGCCTGACGTCACTTCCGCCGTGCGCCACTGGTCACACCCACCCCGGAGGCAGGTCTGCTGCGGCTGAGCCGGGAGTCGGGGCCATGGTTCCCTCCTGCAGGCCACTCCGTCAGGTGGGCACGGTGCTGGGCCTGCAGGGGCACGTCCAGGGCTGAGGCCGTGGACAGATGGCTCTGCTTCTGGCGCTCTTCCGTGGCACCAGACGTGTGAGCGCGTCTCCACACATGGCTGCCCGCCAGAAAGGCCAGCGTTCCCGCCACCTTGCTGGGCACGGCTGTGATGCCGTCAGTTAAGGTGGACGGCAGCGGCCAGCACAGGTGTGTGGTGGGCTCGGGGAAGGGCGGCCCGCAGGCCGTGCACACACTCACCTGGTCTCTCTTGTTCCCACAGCTCCGGTCCGGTCTGCTGCTCGCCAGCTCAGCGCCCGGCATGCTGCACCTCCGCCCGGGTAACGAGCAAATGTGGGCCTGCAGCTCTTCCTCACAGTGCGGCTGTCGGCCTCAATTCACGACTCTGCACCCTCGGGCTGGCCAGGCCATGGCATCAGCCCTGCAACTGTCGGCAGTATTTTCCTGACCCCTTAAGTATAGACAGAATCACAGATGCCCCGAGGTAGAGGTGTCCCGGGCCTTGTGTGGCTCTAGTTCCTTGCGGGAAAACTCCTGCCTCCTTAGAGGTTTCCTGCCAGGAGGGGAGTAGAGGTTGTGTCTGCATCTGGGAGGAGCTCGCGTAAATAGCGGGAGCACTCGGTGTTAATCGTTACACTTGGAAAATACAAAGAAACACGGGGTAAACAGCAGAAGGAAGTGTCCACAGAACTTGACTCGCGGTGAGATAAAAAGACCGGTTGCCGTGGCATTGCCTCTGGCCGAGGGTCCCACGAGTCAGCGTAGAGCCGGCTCCGGAGGGTTAGGAAGCAGGTCCACGCTCTTGTTCTGCAGGGCCTCTGCGTGCACACGGCCCTCCAGCCTTGCAGCTGGCAGCCGAGCGCCTGCCGCTCTGCGCCACCCGCAGCAGTGACATCACAGGGCTTCAGTCGAGGGTAGGGGAACCACCCGGTCGGGTCCCAGCTCTGCCATTTGCTGGCCAGGGAAGGGACACCGTGACGTGCTAAACGCCCCTGCCCTCCTCTCCTGTTCTGCAAACAGGAAGTAACATCAGTGTCTCTCTGAGTTTTTGTGAGATGACGGAGGTGGCAGGTCCCCCAGGGCGCTCCTGAAGGTGTCTGTCCCCTTGCTGGCTTCTCTTTGGCCCTGGAGTGCGGGGCTGTGGTGGCCTTTCTGGCAGCAGCAGCAAACAGACACGTCCGCCCGCTGGCACGGGCTCGGGGATAGGAGGGAGGGAGGCGCCAGCACCTTCTGGTCTGAGCCTAAGTTCCCCTCCGCTCAGTGGAGGGACAGTGGGGGAGGGCACGGGCAGGCAGGACTTAGTGACTCAGGGGACTCCCCACTCCCTGGCACGTCCCCGTCCCTGTCACTGAGGCGGGAGGCTCAGAGCCATGGCTGCAGCCCCAGACAGACTGGCACCCCCCAGGTGCAGCGCCCCAGGCATTCCCAGCCCTGCAGACAGGTCAGAACATCCTCTCCTCGTCCCCCCACGCGCCCTTCGGGCCACTGCCTTTGTTCTGGTCTCGGCCGAAGGAGTTTAGTATCTTGACCAAGGTCATGTTCCGCAGCGTAAGGGGTAAAACCCAGGCTCAGGCTCGGTCTGAAGGAAGGGGAGGCACCACCTGCGGGGGTCAGGGAGGGCCGGGGTCCTGGGAGAGCGAGATGGGGCAGGGAGAGCGGAGGCGGGACACTGCCCTGCTCATGCTCAGTGCTGGCGGAAGGCGCAGGGCAGGGGTGAGGGTGAGGGTGCGGCTCAGCGCGGCTCTGAAGGGCCGTGCGCCCTGGGGACCCCGAGCGTCCAGCCTTACTGGGCCTGATCCCAGGGGGAGGGGGAGGGTTAGGGTGTGGCTCAGCACGGCCTCTGAAGGGCCGTGCGCCCTGGGGACCCCCAAGAGTCCAGCCTTACTGGGCCCGATCCCAGGGGGAGGCCTTCTCTGGGGCGCTGCTCTGGAATAGGATGCCCCATCGCAGATGTCCCTTGAAACATGTTGGGGATCTGAGAGCATGAGTGGACACCTGTGCTCACGGTCACACCAGAAGTGAGGGGCTGTACTAGGAGGACAGTGGTGGTGCCCAAGTCACTCACACGCGTGTGCATGCATGTACGCACACGCAGGTCCCTGCCCAACGTTCCTACAGGAGCAGTTGGCTCTGACTCTAAGGGCAGCCTCGCTGACAAGAGCCTATGGGACCTGGGGCCGACTCCGTGACCTGGCCAGACCCTGTCCCTCCTGCCCTCTGCACGTACCACCTCAGAGATCTGGGGCTCTCTCAGCACGCATGTGACGTGTAAAACCATCTTCACAGATACGTTCCTAAAACATCCCTGAGCTCCCCGCCATGGCCGGAGATTGAGCTGCCCGACCCCGTCGAGGAGGCGAAGCACCATGCAGGTAGTAGACCTCGAGGCTCGGCCCGCACACGGTGCCCACCTCACCCCACCCCCACCCCCACTCCAGGTGCTCGGGACACAGCTCGCGTGGGAGCACCTGTTACTTACAGTGGATCCCAGTATGTGAAACGTATGTTCACCTCACAGCCAGTCCCTGAAGCACCCACGGTACTCTGGGCAGGTACCGGAAGAGGCTGGCCCTTTCTTGTCTATTGATAGAGGGGGGTGGGGCTCAGGAAGCCCCCCCCCCCAGCCCAAGAGCTCTGTGCATGGTGGCCCAGGGGACTGTCACAGGAGCTCTGTGCATGGTAGCCCAAGGGGGCTGTCGGAACCGTGTGACCTGCCTGAGGGTTGGCAGGAAGAGCCCAGCCAGCGGCCCCAGGGCCGTGAGCGTGTGCCAGACTCCAGTTTTCAGAAAACTGGAAATGCCAGCTGTCCCGTGGAATCCTCCGGTTTCACTACGGCCTCGCGTGCCCTGTGGACAAAGGAGTATGGGTGGCAGAGCAGCCCTGCGGCGGGGGGGTGGAGGCCTTGGGGCCTGCACTGCTCGGTGCTGCTGTGGCCTCAGCAGTGTCCACGGCCTGGGCGGTCACCCCCCTCTCCATGCCCCTCAGGGCAGGGAGTGTGCTCAGAGACTGAACGGCCCTGGGACAGATGGGGGCTGAGGCAGGCAGTGACAGTGGGGACAGCCAGGCGCCCAGGGACCGAGGCTCGCGGGGAGCCCTTGTCGGCTCTGAGGCCCGGAACCCTGGCTTGCCTCGTTTGTGTAAAGGCTGGTGCTCACCAGCTGGTACCAAGTCCGCATCTGGGGATTTGTATCCTCGGTCCCCCAGCTCCTTGTTCGTAGTGAATGAGAACTGAACGAGGGCGGAGTGGGTCCCCAGGCCAGCGCCACGGCCCAGACTCGGGGAGGGAGCTGGCGGGCTGGGTATGCGGGCCACAGAGCTGTTACCAGAGAGGCTGCAGTCTGCACACGTCCCCCGAGGCGAGGAACCAATGCTCCTGGGAACGGGGTGGGGCCCCAGGGCTCCGTGCCAGCACCTCCAGACCGGCCATTGGCGCGAGGGTGCCATGCGCGTCAGTGCTCCAGGTCACTGCGGGAGAGCAGGGTGGGCTGCTGCCTCCCGGCGTGCTCACTGCCCTGGGTGGTCTTTCCACAGAGGTCGTGAGCACAGTGAACAAGCTTGTCGCCACAGGCCAGTACGGCAGGCTCTTTGCCGTGGTACACTTCGCCAGCCACCAGTGGAAGGTGACCAATGAGGACCTGATTCTGATTGACAACGAGCTGGACGTCGCCTGTGGCGAGAGGATCCGCCTGGAGAAGGTAGGGCTCAGTCACCGGGTCCACCCTCGGAGGTTCAGAGGCTTGCTTGGGTCGGAAGGGACCGAGGGGTGCGGGGCAGATGCCCAGGAAGTGCAGGCCAAGCCCCCACTCCCCAGGGACAGTGCAGAGCCTGAGGGGTTTCCGCAAAGGGACAACGGCGTCTTTATTGATTAACCTTCCCTCCTGGACATGTTCCTGTGGGAAATGCCGATTGGAGGCATGATTGCC